TATATATATATATATATATATGGAGCTGCATTGACAATTTAATACTAAGACACAAATTATATTTTAATTGAAATCATAATATTATATTATAAGGATATTCAAGAATTCATAAAATAATAGAATTTGCACTTTTTTTATTCAGCCCTATCATAAGTATTTGTGTATGAAATATTCAAATTTGTATGTATAAGTTCGTATAGGCCTGTTCATTCGAACCATGGATTATGATATACACTGATAACATAAATACATATCTGAATCGATCATTTATGATTTCTTTTTTGTTTTCTTACCTTTGTTCCACAAATAGGACTCCGGCTGAGGTGCGAGTATTTTTGCATTTTGTAATAGTATTCTGTTATGGAAGTTGAGGGATGGTTGACGTTGGTGGTCGGTGTATTCGTCATCGATGTATGGAGGCCTATAGTGATGTCGGCAACTGCATTGCGTCGTTTTGCGTTTGATGTTGATGCTTGAGGAAAATATCCAAGCTCGTTGTCGGATGTTTCGCTCGAGTCTGAGTTCATTTGCAATTTTCCAAATGATTAAAGGAGCTGTTAAAAAAATCACCAAAGCATTGTAAATATAATAAAGCTTTTATATAGTTTTTATATTATTTTACAATCTTGAAATCGACGCTTTTACCAATATGGCGATGATGATAAACGAAGAATTACGTAAATAATAAATTATTATTGAAAGATTGTTATGCAAAAAAAAAAAAAATCAATTCATATGTCATTTAAAGATTGCAATAATTTTTTTTAAATAATAATGCCATATCTTATTTAAATGTATTTCCTTTTCAATTCAATCTTTATTATTGTCAAACACAGTAAACTATAAGGTTTGAAATTCCGCTTCTGTTCACAGTCTCAGTAATAATAATAATAATAATAATAATAATAATAATAATAATAGTAATAATAATAATAATAATAGTAATAATAGTAATAATAATAATAATAATAATAGTAGTAATAATAATAATAATAGTAATAATAATAATAATAATAATAATAATAATAATAATAATAATAACAATAATAATTTCGAATAATTGTATTACATTAAAAGAAACAGTGTACGTCAAAACAAACTATGTCATATTTTTTTAACGATTAGTATTTTTACCAAATTAATTTGTTCTTGAATACCATTACAACCATCAGATGGAGGCATTAATAACATTTTTGATAGATTCTAATTCATTAGAGGTTTGAATATCCGCTTGTGTTCACAGCTGCAGTAATAATAATAATAATAATAATAATAATAATAATAATAATAATAATAATAATAATTTTGAATGATTGTATTACATTAAAAGAAACAGTGTACGTCAAAACAAACTATGTCATATTTTTTTAACGATTAGTATTTTTTACCAAATTAATTTGTTCTTGAATACCATTACAATCATCAGATGGAGGCATTGATAACATTTTTGATAGATTCTAATTCATTAGAAATGCAAAATATTATATTAATTTTGTTTCGCGGTAGGCTACCGTCTTTGTTTATAATAGGAAAAAATACATACTATCATTCATTCATTCATTCATCATTTTATTATGAGAAATTTATATCATAGTATAAAGCAAATAGACAATAATAAACGTAAATTTACAAAACAGTACAACGAAAAATTACTTTCACTCTTAAGGTTATTGAACGACAGATGTTATTTAGTCATTTTTGGAGTTATTGCAAAAAAACGATTGATAATCAGAGAGGAGCCATCGAGTAAAAACATTTAATAAGATGGAAGAATATTCCTATCTAGTTAAAACCGCTTTTGGGGTACCAACTTATTATTGTTTTGACCCAACCATTTACCTATGTTCTCAGAAAGTCTGTGTTTACAACGCCCTCGAATCCACCAGTGATTTTAAAACTTATTTAGGTAATCTAAAGTTATTAAAAATGACACAAATGTTTTTAAATTAACAACTTACCCTAATTGACACAGTCTTATATTACTATAACTTGATGCAGTCAGTTGGGCATTTGAAAATGCTCTTCAGTCATGAATTATCAGAAATATGTTGATACCTAAAGCGGTCAATACAAATTTGCAATCATAAAGCTTAACTTTGATAACCCTAATGGTAATACATAGTTTGTGAGTTGAATATAGGCCGACCAAAACCAACACTCAGGTACTGACCTAGGCTCATATTTGCATGCTTCTCTGTTCCTTAGTAACCCCTCATAGGTTGCTATGTACATAAAAGCGATACAAGTGTGTTTTGGAGATTCAGGGAGCGTGTGCTATGAATAAACATCTCTTCCTAAAGAAACCAGAAGCCGTGGTTGGTAATCATTGAAATGGAACAAGAGCTCGGAATATAAAGAGACAATACAACTTATTGAGGTTCAGTAAAAGTGCCGAGCACAAAACTAACATAGACTATTAATAGGAAGCTTCCGATTGCACGACGAAGGGCTCAAAACATAATGACGTCACTAAGAAACGTTAGAGTTCTTGTCGCCTGGATTCTAGGACGAGTTTGGCCCAAAATCTACGTTAGGCAGAGAACAGTAGAACGGTCACGCATGAGTGAATCCGTTCTAGCGTTACGTCGTGGCGCAAATCTTAAGCTTCATTATTATCTTTCTATGTTGAATCAAACATGACGGTTTATGTACTGTATATAGAATGAGCTATGACCTATTTAAAACAAATAGGTCACGCTGGAAGTTTGTTTGAATCATGTACACACTTTTACAAATACAGTATATATTGACTATATGCACTATAGGCCCCTAAGTATGATATTTTGAAAATTATTAACAACAATAATAACAATAGGTGATAAAAATATAAAATAACGGCAGTTATAAGGTATCCAAGATCAATCATTATATATTATCCAAAAATCTGGACAATACTAGAAGTATGATAATATTCTAATAATTATTAACAGCAATAATAACAGTGTCCAGGGCTTATGATATAGAAATATAGAATAACGATCAACAGTGATACAATATCTATAATTTATCATTATAATTTCATCAAAAAAATATATTAACTAGAAGCAAAATATTTTTTTAATAATTATTAACAGCTATAATAACCGTCCAAGATTAATGTCATCAGAGATACTAAACTATTCTAATAAAGATTAACGGCAATGATATCATGTCTAGGTTTCGTGAGAACTTTTATAAAACTGTTTTTTTTTATTAACCTCTAGTTCCACAAACGAATGATTATAAGTATAATTAAATAGACAATGTGAAAAGGCCTATAAACAACTTATA